ATAGGGCCCTCCTACCAAAAAGGTTTAGCTATGGCAGCTGCCATGCAAGGACAATCAGTAAGAGATTTTTTTGGCAAGCAGAGACAAAAAGGCCTGCTTTAAATGTGGCAAGCCTGACCTATGCCCACGTTGCAAACGTGGAAGGCATTGGGCTAGTGAATGTAGGTCCAAGACAGTTGCACAAGGAAACACATTTTCACATAATCAGGGAAACAGGAACAGGGGCCAGCCCCAGGCCCCGAGCCAACACAAGCCAAAACAGGCTTATGGGGCCAGTCAATATCATACCAGCAAACAACAATCCCTTTCAGAACTTAGTCGAGCAACACCAGGAAGCACAGGACTAGACCTCAGTTCTGCCACCCACACAGTATTAACCCCAGAAATGGGACCTCAGGCCTTACCCACTGGAGTGTTTGGACCACTCCATCCAAATGTGTTTGGCCTGATAGTGGGAAGAAGCAGTGCTACTATGCAGGGACTACAAATTTTCCCTGGAGTTATAGACAATGATTATCAAGGTGAGATTAAGGTAATGGCCAAGGCAATACAGAATATAGTCACTATTCCTAAAACAAAGAGGATAGCTCAACTATTGTTACTTCCATTGTTTCCTACTAATCACAAATATAAGAGTCCTAAGAGAGGGGATCAAGGCTTTGGTTCCTCTGATGCATACTGGGTACAGCCTATAGTTAAACAAAAACCTATGATGACAATATTGCTCAATGGGGAGGCATTCCAAGGTTTGGTTGATACAGGAGCTGATGTGGCAATTATCAAACAAAGCGATTGGCCTGCCACCTGGCCTCTGACCCCAACTTTAACCAATTTAAGGAGTATTGGCCAAAGTCAAAAACCACAGCAAAGCTCTAAGGTGCTGACATGGAAAGATAAAGAAGGAAATACAGGGAATATACAACCCTATGTCATCCCAGGCCTTCCCACTAATCTCTGGGGCAGAGATCTATTATCCCAGTTGGGATTGATTATGTGCAGCCCTAATGAAGTAATCACGGTTCAAATGATAAACTCTGGATTTTCTCCAGGGAAAGGATTAGGAAAAAGTGAAAATGGGATTGCTCATCCTATTGAGGTCCATGGTAACTCTGGAAGAAGAGGCTTGGGGTATTTTTGATGGGGGCTATTGATTCAGCTGCACCCCTAGGGCATTGTGGCAATTCCATCACCTGGGAGGAGGACTCACCCATCTGGGTGGATCAGTGGTCCCTAACCACCGAAAAATTGCAAGCTGCTCAATTGCTAGTGCAGAAGCAATTATAGGCAGGATGTTTAGAGGAGAGTAACTCTCCCTGGAATACCCCAATATTTGTCATTAGGAAAAAGTCAGGAAAGTGGAGATTGTTGCAAGACTTGATGGCTGTTAACGCGACCATGATTCTGATGGGAGCCTTACAACCTGGGCTGCCCACACCAGTGGCCATACATTTAGGCTATTATAAAATAGTTATAAATTTAAAAGACTGTTTCTTTACTATCCCTTTGAATCCTAATGATAGAAAGCACTTTGCTTTTAGTGTTTCCTCTATAAACTTTAGAGAACCTATGAACAGATATCAATGGAAGGTCTTGCCTCAGGGTATGGCTAACAGTCCTACCTTGTTCTAAAAGTTTGTGGCTTCTGCCGTAGAGAGTGTTAGAACCATGTGGAAGCAAATCTACATGATTCATTTCATGGATGATATTTTAATAGCGGGAAAAGATGGAAAACAGGTACTCCAGTGCTTTGATGATCTTAAAACAGCTTTACAGACTGAAGGGTTACAAATAGCACCAGAAAAGGTACAATTACAAGTCCATATACTTATTTAGGATTTCAGATTAATGGTCCACATATTATTAACAGTAAGGCCACCTTGAGGACTGATTCCCTTAAGACACTTAATGATTTTCAAAAACTATTGGGAGATATTAATTGGCTACGATTATATTTGAAATGTATGACAGGAAAGTTGAAACCTTTGTTTGACATTCTCAAAGGAGATCCTGACCCTAAGTCTGGCAGGGCTATAACAGAAGAGGGTAGAAAAGCCTTATGGAAGGTTGAGAATGCTATTTCATCCCAATTTGTAACTCATATTAATTATTCTAAGCCTTTATACTTTCTTATTTTTAACACTAAACTATCTCTTACTGCAGTTTTTTGGCAAACTGCACCCATATTATGGGTTCATCTTCCCTCATCCCCTAAAAAGATTCTTTATCCATACTATGCAGCTGTAGCAGATATGATTATGTTAGGCAGAGATAACAGTCGAAAATATTTTGGAAATGATCCTGATGTCATAGTACAACCATATACAAGACATCAGGTTAATTGGCTTATGCAGAGTTCTGAAGTTTGGCCTATAGCATGTGCTTCACTTGGTGGTCAAATAGATAACCACTATCCACCAGACAAATTAGTTCAATTTTGTAATTGCCATGCATTTGTTTTTCCATCTCGTACTGTGCATGTACCTATAAAGGAAGCATTGCTAGTTTTCACTGATGGGTCCTCATCAGGAACAGCTGCTTATGCCTTTAAGGATCAAGTAATTTCCTTTGCTACATCAGCTGTGTCAGCTCAATTGGTTGAATTACATGCTGTTGTTGCTGTGTTTCAAGCATTTCCAAATCAAACCATTAATATTTACACAGATAGTTCATATATAGTTCAATCTATTCCTTGGCTAGAAACTGCTGCACAAATAAAACACTCCTCAGAAGCAGCTGATTTGTTTTTTACACTGCCAACAATTAATTTTGAGGAGAAAGTGTAAATTCTTTATAGGATACCTGAGAGCCCACACTGGGCTACCAGGTCCTCTCGCTGAAGGAAACACCAAGGCAGATCTAGCCACTCATATAGCCGCAGTGACTTTATCAGATCTGCCATCTAACTTAGAACAGGCCATAAAGGCTCATGAGTTACATCACTTTAATTCTAAAACTTTAAAGGTCATGTTTAAAATTACCAGAGAACAAGCTAGACAAATTGTCAAACAATGTCAATCATGTGTTAAACTTTTACCAGTTCCTCATTTAGGTGTGAATCCAAAGGGACTGATACCAAACAGTCTCTGACAAATGGATGTTACCCATTATAATGAATTTGGAAATAAAAAATATATACATGTATGTGTAGATACATACAGTGGTTTCATTTATGTGACATTACAAACTGGAGAAGCAAGCAAACATGTGATCAATCATATGCTTGCTACAATCACTGTATTGGGTGTGCCAAAACAGATCAAGAATGACAATGGCCCAGGTTATACAAGCTCCAGTTTCCACCAATTTTGTGAAAAATTGGGAATACTACATAAAACAGGTATCCCATATAATCCATAGGGCTAAGGTATGGTAGAAAGGGCACATCAAACCATTAAATGTAAATTCAAAAAAATTAAAAATGGGGAATGGTACCCTATTAAGGGATCCCCCAGAAATATCCTTCATCACACTCTATTTTAAATTTTTAACTTTGGATTCTGAAGAAAAATCTGCTGCAGATAGATTCTGGCATCCTGATACCAAAAAGAATTTTGCAACAGTCCTCTGGAAGGACCCATTAACTGGAACCTGGAATGGGCCAGATCCAGTGCTTATCTGGGGAAGAGGTTCTGTCTGCATATATTCCCAAACGGCAGATGCCGCATGCTGGCTGCCAGAGAGACTGATCAAACAAATAGACAACAATAACAAATCCAGGGAGGAGAAACTTCCTGAGAATCGTATTTTTTGTTTCTTTATAGGAAACATGATGATGCTTCACAATTGTCTTCAAACAGGAGCGGATCAACCAGCATACTGGACTTGGGAAGTTCTCATTGCAGAAGAAATCACCACCCACACCTCCAGGGTGGCTCTATTGGACTTTTGGTTCCCTGATTTATGATTTAGTGGGGTACATTGTTTAGACTCAGGAGAAAACCCATCACCACAGTTACTATAATTGTTTTTTGGGTTTAGGATTGACTGGGACAGGAATGGGGATTTTTTTTATTTGTTTTGTTAAGATCAAAGCTATGATCAGTTCTATACTTCTATAGATTTAGATTTAGAAAGAATGGAATCTGCTATAATGCATTTGTAAAATTCATTATCCTTCTTAGCTGAAATAGTGCTACAGAATAGAAGAGGGTTATACTTTTTACTTCTCCAACAGAGGGAGTTATATGCTACCCTAAAAACAGTGTTGCTTTTGCACTAACCATTCAGGCATTGCTAAGTCTCTTGTCTCTTGGGTTCACGCTGTTCAACAAACTGATGGCTTTTGTACAACAATCGGTAGATGCTATTCAAATGAAACCCATACAGGTCCGTTATTACAGGCTGGAAGTAGGAGACTCCAAAACCTCTGTCATCAAGTCTGATGAGGATTAACCCCTAACTTACGTGCTAAGCCGGATAGTCAATGATGGGTAAGAGAACACTTCAAGACCCTTGCCCCAAACTGGGAGGCCTCACCATCCTAAGACAGGAGCTCAACCAATGGCTGTTGAGTTTCCAAAGACAGAAAAGGGAGGCTGGGGTCCTTTGTTCCAACCTATGCACGGTTCTATGGCTGCCTTGAGACATGTGACCAGGATTTCAAACCAGGTGATAGCAAGCAGTCAGTCATAGAGTACAACACGGTGAATTCTTCCCCACACAAAAAGACCTCCACCAGCAACTTAGCCTCAGCCAAAAGCATGTATTTATCCCCCAAATCCCATTCCACTCCCAGAGGTTCAAGCAGTCCCTGTCCACATGACATACAGTGCACAAGTTATTTATTTATTTTTTTACCAAGGATTGTTTAAGACTGTTTGTTTTTACTGAGCTGTAACACTTGGGGGAAGCCCTTCCTCAGACACCACCAACAATCATTGTTGGACAATGGACACACCTAACTAGCCAGGATCCTGTGATTTGTTTCTACTGAGCTGTAACACTTGGGAGAAGCCCCTCCTAAGACTCCACCAGCAATCATTGTTGGACATTGGACCCACCTGACTAGCCAGGACTTGCAGACTCTCACATCAGAGTATGAGCTCCAGATATCACAGCAGGTGTAGCTACTGCAGGACCCATGACCCAGCCTCCTGTCCTGTGCTGGTGGCACAAAGTTCTTTATGCCTTTTCTAAGAGCTGTAACACTTCCAGCATCCCCATCTGGACTGGAGCCCTGCGGACTCTATTTGTCCTGGACTGAGCTTAACTCTCCTCAAATTAACATACAGCAATTTCTGATGCCACAGTTGGAAGAAGCACACTTCTTCAGGCCCAAACCTTTTTGGACTTTGCCCTGCTCTCTCTGAACTGGTGTTTACCTGAGGCAGCCAGACACCCCACCAGGAGAGGTGGATCATGAACCACAGTGTCTGTTTTCAAGGTTAAGCTTAAAGCAAGTAACTACAAACAAATAAATTTCATTTAAAATCTAGTATATGTAATAAGTTAAATTTTGACCCTTAAACTTCTCAGCGATCTGCTCAATATGGTATCTAAAATGGTTAATAATAAAAGCTTCTCATGATAGGTGAAACTGCCAGACTCTTCAGTCAGCTAATAGGTCTCCTTCAAAGAATCTGATGGGGCACAAATGGCTCCCCATGAATTGTGACAACAATAACCACTGGCAAAGAACTATTCTATGCTTCACTCTCTACCAGGACACTGCACAAATTGTGGACAAGAAGGACACTGGAGAACTGAGTGTCTCTCTTTGCCTCACCAAGGTAGATCAGTCCATTAATTCTTCATGCACAGGAAAATCTGTGGCTAATGTTGTCATGTGTGAATACCAATGACTGACAACCCCTGCTCCTAAGACCACCATGGAGGGTCTATGGTAATCATCAGGTAAGTGTCTGCTGTTTCAATTGATACAAAGGCCAAATGGATTATATTTTCTAGTCAAATTTATTCTCCTCAAATTTCTATTGACGGTGCTGGATAACTGTGCCGTTATTAGTTTCAGAACAGTAAGCATCAAACTCCTCTACCAATGGCTATACTCCCTTGTAAGTCAATTTTGTAAGTTAAAACCAGGCTTACCATTTTGATTTTAAAGAGCTGCTAGACCCAATGATTAAAAAGATAAACAACAACAAATAAACAAAGGGAAAGAAAAGAAAAGAAAAAAAAAACAGTGGACTTAATCAGACAGGCTTACACTAAAAGAAATAAACTCACAAAACAGGTCTTAATATAATTTATTATTCTTTTATTTTAGTTCCGTATTTTTCAACTAGCCACCAACTATGCATCACTGTAAATAACTATATTAAAAAGTTAGAGTTTACATATGCTATGAGAGTCTAGGGAAATGATTTAGTGTACGAATATAAAGGGCTAAGGACATAAGAGCTTAAATAAGCTACCAGGATATAAAAAAGTAATTTAAGTTATATAAATGAAAGTTATAAATTCCTGAGGATATGAAAACATGTAAGTTGTGAGTGTCTGAAAAAAATAATTTGAGGAATGTAAATACATGTTGTAAGTGTCTGAGAAAATAATTTAACATAAGTGAAAAATTAAAAATAGATTTTTTTAGAATTGTTTTTTTACCTCTTGTTATACTATTGTTATATTAAAGAAGCTCAGAGTTTTAACACTAATCAATAGAGCATTGATAAGCTGTTAATCTAGTTCTAGCAATGCAATGACTACCCTCCAGAGGCTAAAAAATTTGAATTTCCTTAAGATGTCTTCAAAATATAAACTTAAACGTGTTTCTCATTGTGCTAAAATATGTTTCTCTCCATATATGTGTGTGTATAGATGGAGACTTACAGAGAAGTACAGCTAGTTTTGGAGCAGAACAGATACATAGGTTGGAGACAACACACACACATACACACACGCACACACATGTACAAATATGTATGTATGTATGTATGTATGTATGTATGTATGTATGTATAAAATATCTAGCCCTCTGGACAGAGGAAAAAATTAAAAATGTTCATGTTTCTAAATCCAAAATTATTTTTGGGGTCCCCAAGATTTTGCTATGATTTAAAGGCATTACCCCACTAGAGCTGTTTATAAACACTTGTTAACTAATTTTTTTGCAATGAAGATTTCAGTACAGATTACAAACAATGGTAACACCATTATACAAAAGACCTTTGTCTTTTTTAGTATACTTAAATAATGCATGTAAGTTTGAAAGAGTTACAACTTGGATCCATCTGTTAGAGATCAAAAGGATTTCACATAAGACTGTTGGTCAACTGCCTAAACATCCCTGTCTATTGCCTATTCGTGAGGGCGTACACTTTGCCTTCCTGCCTTGGTCTTGAGACTTTTTAAACTGTCCCAACTACCAGGACCACAGATGTATAAGTTTTAATATACACCCAAGATAAAGATTTTCGTCCAGGTGTCTTAACTTTCTGTCTTTCCCTAGTCTGCATTTGTTGCAATAGATTTCCAATCAACTACACACTGCAAACTATGCCAACATGCCAGCTTTAGGTAGACCTTTAAAACTAGCACACCACGGGCTTGCTGAAACGTGATGTATACCAAGTCTCTGATGAAAATTTCCTGCCATCTTGAGCCTCAGCTTTAGAAGAGAATTCCAGACTGCTCTAAAACTTCCTGTACTTCTTTAGTCCAAGGTGGTTTAACAGAACCTGAGCCATAAACTAGATGGTACTCTGCCCATTCCTGGTCTTTGGCTAGGTTTCCAGCCTTCCTAGAATACTAATAATTACAGCTGAGAAGCAGTTATAGGACAGAGTATTTCACCACTTATAGTTAACAATGGTTTGTAATGTTGTTTCCAAAAGAAAGTAGTTCCTCCATATCAAATTAACCTTTCCTCTATTGCTGTTGATAGGGACATTCTTTGGCACATCTTCCTGCCCATACATCAATGAGCCAAACAAATCACAGATAGTCAGCATTTGAAGCATATTCAGATTAATGATGACCTGGGTACATATTTTGCTCTCACTCACAAGACAGAAACAGCAAGCCTTAACCATTCGGCTGGCTCTAAAGACCCAAGAGGCACCATACAATGCCTTAACCTGAGGTTATTGACCATGTCTAAAAAAAAAAGTGTTCAGTTTTTGGTACAAAGTCTGTCATGGCTTCAGTTGTTTGGACTCAGCTGGGCTTCACTGAAGATATACTTATTCCTTCTGAGAAAGCTTTTATAAATTAGCATTAAATCCTTTTAACATTTAGATTGACAAATATGAAGCTGCATTCTCTTTCAATGGCTCTGTCCTTTATACAAGACTTTCTTTTGAAACAGAATATCCTTTGTGGGAAACATGTGAATCTAGTACATCAGCCACACAAGGCAGATACATAGGGCATTCTACACATCACTGAGGATTAATCAATCCTGCTTTCCTGGCCTATTGCAAAAGTTCCTTTTCTAGTTTGTATTTAGATTCATCAGTAGGGAGTGCGTAGTTTTTTGAGCTTTTTAGTTTGTTTGTTCACAGTGAAACTCTGGACTGAATAACCAGAACTTCATGTCAATACAGCCATATCAAAATCCTGGATAAGCAGAACAACCCTCAGTGTGGGGAAGACCCTTTATTTCTTCATGGAAAACAGTCTTTTTTAAAAAATCTTACTTATTATTTTTATTTATGTGTCTCAGTGGGTGTCCACATACTTCAAAAGAGGATGTTTGATCCCCAGAATTGGAGTTACAGGTGGTTGTGCATCACTCACATGTGCACTGGCACCCGAACTTGGGGCCTTTCCTAAAGCAGCAAGTGCTATTAATCACTAGGCCATATCAACATCCTCCTACTAATTTTTTATTACAGGGATGTTTTAAAATTATGTCTTGTTTGAATTCTAAACTTTTTGTATATAGATTTATCCCTGGGTGCCAGTTGCTGGCTTTTCCTGGAGCTCCATTGTCTAGCCACTGCCCTGCTGCCACTAGGCTCACTAAACAATGGAACAAGGAACATCCAGGTCAGATCTCCTACTCCCTATTCCCCTATCCATCCCCAGGCATACCCAGCTGCCCTAAGTTAACTTCTGGCTCTCCCCTAGCTCAAATGTCTGGCCACTGCTCTACTGGACTCCATTTAGCCTTCAGAACAAGGAACAACAAGGCCTGCCAAACAAGGAATAGTCAGACATGTAACATCAAGAACAATTAGTCCAAGGCTGCCACAGGAGATCTGCTGCACATGGAATGTCCAGATAAGGCATGACTTCTGATACCTGTTACACCAGGAGCATCCAGGTACAACCAGATGGTTAAAGGTCCATATAAGAACACAGACACCCAGAGCCAGGGGAAATGACACATTTGTAGCAAAGCTATCTCACCTACAGCAATCCATAGATATTCTAACAGGACTGAAGAACAAGTAAATTATTTTAAATCCAACCTTACAAAAATAAAATAAGCCTTTAAAGAAGAATTGAATAAATCTCACACAGAAGCAAAGGAAAATACAATTAAATAGGTGAAATAAATGAATAAAACTGTTCAAAACTAGAGAATGGAAATAGAAACAGGAAACAAACAAACAAACAAGAAACCAAAACAGAATCTAAAGGAATCCTGGAGATGAAAAATCTAGGGAAGAGAACATGAACAACAGATTCAAATATCACAAATGAAATACAAGATAGTGAAGAAAGAATATCAGGCACAGAAATTATGATTGAGGAAATCAATACACTGTTCAAAGAAAATATAAAATCTAAAAAATTCCTGACAGAAAATATTCAGGAAATTTTGGCTACTGTAGAAAGACCTTACTTAAAAATAATAGGTAGATAGAGGAAGGTGAAGAATCCTAACTTCAAGGACCACAAAATATTTTCAACAAAATGATAGAAGAAAATTTCCCCAACCTAAACAAAGATATGCCCCAAAACAAACAAGATACTTACAGACAACCAATTACATTTGACCAGAAAAGAACATCTTCCTGCCATATAATAATCAAAACCACAAATCTCCAGAACAAATAAAGAATATTAAAAGCTTCAAAGGAAAAAGGGCCAATTGACATACAAAGGCAGACTATCAGAATTACACCTGACTTTTCAACAGACTCTAAGTCTAGAAAGACCTGAACAGATATCTTATAGCCTTTAAGAAATGGCAGATACCAACCTAGGCCACTAGATCCAGCAAAAGTCTCAGTCACTATAGATGGAGGAAACAAGATATTCCAAGA